TATAGTATAGTATAGTATAGTATAGTATAGTATAGTAGAGTATAGTATAGTATAGTATAGTATAGTATAGTATAGTATAGTATAGTAGAGTAGAGTAGAGTAGAGTAGAGTAGAGTAGAGTAGAGTAGGGAGTTCCGCAGGAAGAGAAGGGGGATGTGGATGCAGGGAGGGGTCGGAGCTAAGCGCGGGTCGATAACAGCCTTCAGTTCTCGAACGACGCGTGCGACTCCCAAGTTTCATTTTCGACGTATCAAATCCACCGAGCGGAATTTAATTCAAAAGGCATTTAAAAAACTTCGTGTAAAAAGGATTTAACGAAGAGGAGTTAGTAGAGGGGAGAGAATAAAGGAGAACGGTAGGAAGGAAGGAAGGAAGGAAGAAAGGAATAAATAAAAAGAGAAGGAAAAAAGATAAAAACAAACAAACAAATACAATTTGGTGAAGGGGTCCTCTCTTTTAGAGAGTGTCAGGGCCGTATCTTTCGTGARATAAATTGCGTGAATAAAAAAAAAAAAAGGACTTGTTGTGTTGAGCGACGGCGCGTCCCTCATTTTTTTTTCTGCGCATCTAACGTAGAGAAATTGCGTATCAGGTACGCCCAGCAGTTCTCGTCGACGACTGTGCCGACCGATTCGGCAGGGGTGTTTGTGGTTCTTTACAAGAAGAAAGAAAAAGGCATCGGCGCCGTGAAATATAAAGAAAAAGAGAGAGAGAGAGAGAGAGAGAGAGAGAGACAAGGAAGAAAGGAAGGAAGGAACGTAGAAACGACCCGAATTGTTCGCAGTGCGGAGCGACACTTGCGTCCTCTCATTCCTTTTTTCTCATCTGATATATTTATTATATATATACATAAATATCATATATAGATATATATATTTGATTATTACTCTTTCTCTTTCTCTCTCTCTCTCTTTTTCTCTGTTCTTTTTTTCTTTTTAACTTTCCTTCCTAAACACTAATTTATCTCGTTTATTCTTCCGCTCGTAATCCTCTTTTTAATCTTTTTCGACTTTCACCTCGGACAAGTTTAAAGGTTAAGGGAAAATCGTAAAGATAGAAAACAGTGACGTATACGTACTCGTGTTACTTTTGTTTTTTATTTTATTCTAGTCCCAGCCAGCAGTGTTTTAAACAACTATTACTAAACTGTTAATACTACTACTATTACAATTATTATCAATAAACAGCAAGAGACTCTAATTCCTCGACGCACAAGTAGTCGTCTATTAACCGTCGTCTTTGAAAACGGTGTGTTAATAAATTGCTTTAGGACTTTTTTTTTCTTGTGTGTGCTCGAGCCCTAACAACCAACGTCGATAAAAAGAACAAACGTATAAATAT